GATTAAAGAGAGAAAGAAAGAAGGAAGAGTTTGAAAGAATAGTTAATTGCTTTCTTGTTTCCTGAGGATCAGAAAAATCAATTCGAGCCACAAAGTGTCGATGGGAGTCTGCGGTTGCCAGACGATTAGAGTTTGCAAAAATTTCGCGTAACACCCGCGTTCGACGACACTCGGTTTAATGTACCGTTATGATCTTTATGGTGGTCGTTTATAGGCCATTACGATTGAATTTTCGCTTCGAAATCTTATCCCATCCTCTTAGAGCGTTTCCACCCCGTTGTGGAAAGTCGAAGAAATCTTAGAATAATCGATGCGTGGCTCGAGCCAGATATCGGCAGAACCGCTCGTTAATCGTGGTTGGCTTCTTTCTAGCAGTACGTGTTTCCACTTTTAATTGCGTTTCGCGTAATTTCCACTTCCGCCGGTGCCTCTAATGAAGATCTCTGGCTAACAGGATCATCAGCGACGAATTAAGCGAATTTGCAGTAATCGCAAACGCGACTGTTATCCCGTTCAAAGGATCTTTAATTAACGAAGCCAATTTTAATCATCCTCGATCAGCTACGAGCCTCTTCGCTTTATAATAATCGCGTTCGTTGAAAAAACTTCTGTTCATCCTTGAACTTGCGGCTGCGAGGATAATCACTTTTGCCGGTTCGTTAACACCGTTTAGTTTTCAATCACCCTACGTGGCTATATAACGCACTCGAACGCTTCGTTGTACGTAGCAATATCGAATGTATCGTTAGCGATAAAGATAAGGTAAATTGCCGGTAGAAAAATTCCTTGTCGAGAAGTGAACAGGTGCGCATAGTCGAGCACGCGACAGAATGTATAATATCGGTGAATCTGGAGAACGAATACGATCCACGAAGCTGTGTTACGAGATTGCCGATTATCATGAAACGTCGACGAGAAGCGTGTTAATTTTCCTTGGCAGGCTCCCTGCGCTGTGTTTCGAGATCGCTATGATCGACGACGTTCGTCCCATGGGTCCTAGTATTTATGGAGTTCGAGATTAGCTCGACTAGACCCTGGCGTTAACCTTTGCACGAACGACAAGGAAGAGACTTTTACGACAACGCAATGTGATCGAACGGCTTTATCGCCGACCCTGCCGCACGAATAACTTTATTACTTTGCTTTTACTCCGGTTTTCAAGATATACGTGTTCCGCGTTTCTTTTCGGTTAAACCGACGATAGTATTCTTCGCAGCTGTCTACATACTATAAAGTGGAGCATCGTAGTTATAACCGACTCGTAAAAATCTTCGATCTGTTTACTTTTCGAATTTATTGGATCGATTAATCGTTAAAACAAAATCAGTCGACGCTCGATTACCTTTGTAATTCATAAAGCAGATAAGGGTAGAGGTGGAGCGCGAGGGGGAGTGTACATTATCGCGCAGCCCCGAAGCACATTATTTTCGAGATAGGATCGTCGGTACAGTAGCGATTCCCTTAATGAGTAACGGTTGATCGAGCAATGATTTGGCCGGATTTCGAAATCGTCCGAGCAACGTTGGATCAAACCGTCTGGCCGGTACCCTCCGTACGTAGACAATAGCGGGGGTAGATAAAATCTGTATCGCGTTTAGGGACTGTACGTACACGAGTACAACGGACCCGGTGCAAACCTATTAACGTGCACGCGTTGCATCGCGACGCACAACATCGAGAGAGAGACGGAGAGAGCTGGTTGGTTCTGGAGTCTCGTGATTTACGCGTGCCGATGCTGCTCCGAATTCCAAAGCTTCCTATTAACCGGCTGCATCGCAGGATCGCACGCGGCTCCTGTTCGTACGAAATTTGAAAAACGATTTTATCGGCAG